CAACCTGTTATAAAAGCACATTTAACTTCTGAAGCCCTTACGACGAGACTGTTACACAACGTCTTGTCTGAAAACTCCAGTCCATGGTTTCAGTTGTGATTTCAGATTTTTCCACTCTTTGCCACTGAGCGTATTCCACTTGCTGCTCAAATAACATTGTAGACCATCCTATCTTTCAAGTAACAGGCATTAGGTTTGGGGTATACAATATGACCTACTTGAAATAGTTACAGACTTTGTGAAGTTGCTTCTAAAATTTGTCCTCGAAGCAGCTCGCTTTTTAGGAGAATTTAAGAATGCCAATAGCCATTTGTGTGGTGCCAAATCTCTAGCACCTGTAGACAGATTATGTCCTTCCCTCTCTCTCTTCGTGATTCAATTACACAGTTGGCTACCGTTAAAGGTGCTGCTATAAGAACTCATAGCAAAAATAGCCCAGTGCAATAAAGAAAGACCAATGCACGTGGACTCCAGCAGCATGATGGACTGGGAAAAGAACATAGTGGCCAAATGGCCAAGAACAATACTGAGAATAAACTTGCATAATACCACAGCTCAAGTCCATTATGGAGCTTACCTTTCTACGGATTTTAAATGTATTTATATCCATTAATAACATGAACCTCGCAGTACACCTATGTGATTATATCAGTTATACCAATTTTAATATTATGAACACAGAGGATGAAGTTGTTGGAGGACAAAGAAATTTATAACAAAACAAATAACTGAAACCAAATTGTTAGTTGTGCCTGCAGACCCTCTTACCACCTTTTTAATCCCAGAAAAAATAAGAAGGAGATAGAAACATAGATATTACATCTGTACCAAAATGTAGGAAGAGTTTAAAACCCAGGAGGGAGAGAAAAGGGATCGGATGGTCTCATGGAGCAAGCCAGTTATCTTGTGAATCCCTCTCCAGAATTAGTCTGCTGGACCCTTTTTTTCTCTCTATCACTAAGTTTCGCAGCTGATCCGCAGGACGAGTTACTAGCAACCTCTTTCAGCCACTGTCACACTTGCTGTGTTTTATTACTGTTACGAGTCTTGGTGGAGGCTGTCAGAATCCGTGAAATCCAATTCTCACTACTTGCAAGGTTGTGGCTGGATGGAAATAGCCACGCTTTTCACTAGTAATTTTGTCATGGAAAGCAGTCTTCTACCGAAACAAAACTAACTCCTAAGCGTCTGCGGTTTAAAATGTTCAGGTGTGCTGTCTGCAGCCGCTTTCAAACTTCAGGCCTGACCACTAAACGAAATGGTTTCTAAACGGGCTGAAGAGAGCGGAAGGTTGAACTTTCATTCATCTGTGGTGATACTCTGCAGGCCAAGGGTAATGCCAAGGCTTAGTCTTTGCGGTACTTGGAGAGTGTTTGGGTTTGCTTGTTTTCTGTGCAGGCCACAGCTGAAAGAAGAGCTAAATAACAAAACTTCCCGGCTCTTATTTAATCACTTTTCCTGCATTTCCCCTTCCAACACACTTTTTGTAAGCGGGAGCACAGGAAAAGGCAGGATAAGGGGATAAATATCTAGATAATACGACTGAATTAAATAAAAAGTGTGTACTCCTTTGTGATAGCCATTTCTTCCTCTGCGATGCTATTCTCCCAGATTTATCAGATGAAACTGCAAAAAAAAAAAATGTTGCTGTTAGGAATCCACGTCCAAAACTGATGAGAGAGTTGAAAAACTGATGAAATTCCTGTGCAAAAAGGGACACTATCCTTGTGCACACCATGTGGAGGAGGAGAAAAAAAAATCCTGTGTCTGAGAGTTTACAAGTGAGCTGCATTTTCAAACTATTAAGGGCAAGTCATTTTACCCAACTCTGTGTTTCAGGTCATGCAGGCACAAGCAAAGAAAAAGAAAACCCCAAGTGTAAGGACAGCATCTTGTGTAGCTAGACGCCAGTGCAGCCACCATGCCCTCGCTGGAGTCTCCCGTGGGAACTAGTTACATGTGGCATGGTACGGTCGTAAGGCAGAATTAGTTGCAGATCCTCTTAGCTAATTTCTTAAACAAAAGTCATTAGCAAGTTTCTAAATTCCCTGGACAGCCAATTTCAACTTCATTATACCAAGACAACTTCAATGACATCCTTCATCCTTCTGAAAAAGAAAGTGTTCTGGGGCCTTACTGTCTTTTATTATCCCCCTGGTAGGGGATTATTTTCAGTTCTGATGCACGTTTTAAGCTGCTTAAAAGCCTGCAGTTTTTAATCTGTATTTCTGAAGATTAGCTACATTTATTATATGGGTTGTTTGCAAGCAACAACTCTGATTTGGTCTTTGCTGGAGTTGCGAGAAACATCTAAAAGGGCTTCACAAAGGGCAGTAGCTGAACTGCTGAGGTAAAGTGTGGGTGGGGGGGGGTGGGTCAAAGTTTTTTACTCAAAGACTAAAATCACGTCTTTAGCTCATCAAAAATTGTGTTGCAGCTTACAGGACCACTTCATCTAAGGGGTTGCATTGTGTACGAGCTCTCACTTTGCTGAGGTGAAAGCAAAATGCTTAGCAATCACTTCTTGCACCCGGTTTGGCATGGATTCCAGGTGCTTGAAATGAAAGGGGTTTTCTACTGTCTGGCACAGTAATTAAACTCGTTTGATTGTATAAAGTTCAGTAAATTTACTGTTAGACCACTTATTGCAAAACACTGCCTTGTTGTGTCACCTGAGTCTTACGCTCTGGGAAGGAGCGTTTTTAACTTGTTTTTAACTATCCAGCTTAATTTAGCAGCTGGGCTTGCTCTCTGGCTTGTTTTGTTTTTAACCCTTCTTTAGAGCAGGTTGGGTGGTGTTTTTTTTTTTGGTGTGTGTGTGTGTGTTTTTTTTAAGCAAGCTAAAACAGGACTGGTCTGTACCCTGTGGCCTGACTTGGCCAATCTTGAATTTCTGAGCTCACTCATTAGTGGAGACTAAAGGTCATGATCGAGGCCTGTATTTTTGAGAATTCCCTATTGATGTGAGTGGTAAGTTTTGCACATGGACCAATGACAGTTTGTGATCTGAGCCGAGTTACAAAAGTAGGACCCGCTCCTTCAAAGTACTGAATACTGTCAAGTATCCTTGATGTCAAGGGGTAGAAAAGGCACTCCACAGCTTTCACAAGCAGGGGCCTTATCTATCTCGCCGATAAGAGCCTGGCTACCACAGCTAAGCGAAGCCCTTGCTTACAAGTTCTAGTGCCACCGGACCTTTTCTACCCTTTTCCAAATCATTCACTGCTTATTACTCTACCATTTTTAGGATTAGTAAATATCAGAGCTCAAATACTAAGTCTAGGACTGTTTGTAGTGTTTTTGTTGACATTCTGGAGCTGACTGTTGTCTTCATGGTTTTTGGCATTGCCAGTGAAAAAGGGAAGAACGTTCGGGTAGGTGAGAGCGGCGCAGGAGAAAGGGGAATTGGTCTGTGGGGTTTGGGTGAGAGGCTTGAAATGTATGCATGCAACGTTTCCTTTCGCATATATATTCAAACAGGAGAAAAAAGGAAGCGGTTTGGCGGCGACAGGTTGGTTTGTTTTGTAATTAGAATCACTGTTGTTCCTGAAAGACGCCACTTCAGGAGACGAGTAACAAAGCTGACTTTCCCCAGTGCAACAGCGGGCCGAGCGTAGGCCTGAGTCTGCTGCTACCTGGGTATTGTTTATGCAAACACACCAGAGTGTGGAGGTGGCCTTGCTCTCGCACTGCCAAGAAACACCCACACGCTACAAGCCTGTTTATAAGCGGTTCAGTTTATGGGATGAGCTGGGAAGTTGGATGTACACAGTCTTCCATGTGAGCCATAAACCTTAATTTCTGAACTCAGGTTTATTAAAGCGCCCACAGCAATTTCTTACTCCAGTTAGTTATTCTAGCCAAAGTCTAACTTTCCGCCGCCTTTAATGCCACTGCCTTGGTTGGACTCTGCTTTGGTCACTTCCTGCCCTGAACAGTCACAATACTGGTGTGCTGTTAAAACGTCAACATAGCTGCTCAGGTCCCACCAAAAGAGCACTAGTAATTAATTGTTTTTCTTTTACTCATCTCTTATAGTATTGTGAGGTTTAAGTGAAGATCAGTAGAATTAGAGAGTCCAGGAAGAACAAAGCAGCAGTGCTCCGAAATGCTGCGCTTGGCATGTTTGCTAAGTGACATCACAGCTGTGTTCGGGGCTGTGTCGCTGCCTTGAAAGCTTGCTGGGGCAGCAAACCTACCGGGTTCCTGGTCAGACAATGTAAATAAGGCTTGAAAGGAAACACCTTTAACTATGCAAAATATGGCAGTTGCTTGATGAAGGGTTTTGTTTCGTCAGCCAAACTAGTCGTTGTTCAAAAATCTACAAAAAAACCCCTAGGATTTTTAGTAAAAACTTAGCTCTTTGTGCCATTCTTTGGGAAAAAAAAAACAAAAAAAAACGCATACCATTCTGCCAACCACACCCCCCCCCCCCCCCCCAAATGGTTGCGTACAGTTGTTTGCAACGCTGCTTTCAGTACGGGCCTGCTGTTCTGCTTAGCAGCGTTACAGCGCGTTGTCCAACAGCCCGCCCCGGGCTTGCTTGGGAAACACTGGACCGGGCTGGCATTCAGGCCGTGAGGTTAGGCGCAGCCCAGCCCTCCCCTCAATAAAAAGCCTGCCAAGGGGGAGTTGAAGGGGGGGGGGGGGGAAACCTCCTTCCAGACTGAGCGGACGGGTTAACAAGATGTCAGCCAGTCAGGCAATGCGAAAACAAGACTTCTGAGGTCAGGAAAATAAATTATGGCATCATTTTCAGCACTTTCTCATTTTGAAATGAGCTCGCTAAACATTTTAATTTGAACACTAATTTTCTCTACACTTAATTTTTGGATGAAAACATTTCTGAGCTCTGTTTTGTTTACCTTTAGCTCTGCAAAGAGAACTCGTTGTGGTCCAAAGATGCAAATTAGTGAAACCTGTTAATGACCTGAAATGAGTTGTCTGCTTGATCTAATTGCTCTTCACCTCACCCGCCGC